AGAAAAAATACCGAGAAGAGTCAACAGAAGATGACTTAAAAAGCTGTTAGAGCTGCAGAGGAAAGCACATAACAAGCCAGGCAGGAACTGCAGTGGAATAAAACCACAATAAAATGCCAACACAGTACTGAAGCCGAGCACACAAATCTGTGCAGCCTGGAATGCTACATGCAAATCTGAGCTGAGAATAGCAGTAGCAGTGACCACAGAGCTGACAGGACCAAAGCAAAGCTCTGCTCGTGACAGCAAATGAGGGAAGGAGAGCATGGGATCTAAAGCTGGGTAAGCAGAAGGGACAGAGGGTAAAGCCTAGCAGAGCTGACTTAGATTTGCCCCCAGGGGGACAACAGAGGGCTGAGGTAGAAATAGCTCTGCTGCAGGAACTATTCTGATGCAGCCTCCTCTGAGTCCTATTCAGGAACGATTAGTGAGCTCACAAGATGTGCTAATTACCATGATAGCAAAAGAAATCCTGGGCTACCGCAGGCAGCTATGTAACATTACCTCATTCATCAACTTAATCTGAAATCCCTCATCTTCCACCACTGTTCCTAAAGGCTGCTCCCAGTTTTCACTCTGATAGATGCAAGTTCCTTTGTCTCTCTGCCAGCCTGATTACAAGAGAATGCAGCCACAAGCCCTCAGCTGTCCTCCCAGGTTTCTACCCTCCCTGGCAGGTTTATAGGCAGGAACCCTCCCCTCCTGCCTCCCTTTTACCAAGCTGAACAAAGTACCCCAATCTCCTCCCTAAGATGGGCTCTCAGCTCCCTGGATACAAACAAGTAGGATGCCGGGCTCCAGCAAGCCCCGGGGCAGCGTCTCTCCCCAAAACTCACATTTCTACTCCCACAGCAGAAACATGGAGACTGTTCTGATCGCTGAGAACCATCTTTAAAAGCAGTACAGGAAAAAAAAAAACCAACCAACCAACAGGCTCAGCACTAAAAAGCTGAGATATGCTGCAGCGCTCAACCTGTGGTCTGCATCGACTCCAGGGAACCAGGATACCTTCGCAGTGTTAGCTGAAACCCACGCCTGCCAGTCAGCCAGAAGCAGAGCAGCTTCAGCTCTCATTCAACCCCAAGTATTTTGGAGCAAAAGTGAGAGTGGGGATCAGCAAAGGCTGATCACTCAGAAGATAATTTGGGTAATTCTGCATCAGAATGCCACGAGGCAATTCTTCCAAGCACTTCTAGCATAACAGATTTGTCTCTCTGGGATGACACAGCTTCACCCTCAGCTTTCTAGCACGTGGAAGCACACCCTCTCGCCTCTTGGCCTCTCCAGAGGCCAGGCTCTCATTTCAAGGCATCTGCAGGCTGCACAGCTCCAGCTGATTACACAGCTGACTGATTAGAGCAACCCTCAGAGCTGTCCGTGGGGCAGTAGCACCCTATCAGCCAACCGTGCTCCTCTCACAGAAAATACTTGGTTCTTCCCTATTACACAGTGACCTCAGCTCCCTCGTTAAAATACCAGTGCTGAAGTCTAGACAACACTGCTCTAATGGCAACAAAATAAACTTTGTAGGAGCTGTCTTGCTGCCATGCAGGTCTGCAGTCTCTTGTGAGAGGAAGAGAGCCAGGCCTTTTGCACAATCTACACGGAGGGAAAAGCTGAGGGAGCCCATCTTGGACCCCGGGGAGTGGATAAGAGGAAGGAAAAAACAGCTTTTCTAGGGCATTTTTCACCATACAGCCCATCACTGAGTCACTCATCTATTTACACTTACGAGACCCGATCTGAATGCATCCTAAAGGCAATGTTTACCTCCTTCAAGCCACTGCTTTGCATCTGAGGCGCACAGCTTCCAGTGCCCAGAGATGCTTTCTCATTTCCTCCACACGCAGATCTGGTCTCCAGTTTATTGGTGGTCTTTGAGAACAGTGCTACTGACATCACAGTCTGGCTTGCTTTATTTTAAAAACATACAGTATACATATAGCAGTTGCCATGACGATGCTAATTATGGTAATTGCTGCACATGCTGATTCTAAACACAAGAGGATACAAGCATCCCATTATACCGAGGTCAACTGATGACTTTTTTTGGAACAGATAACTCCACACATAAGGAGCCATGCATCATCCATATTAAGCAACGGAGTAGAGCGCAGAACAGCCCCTGTGCCTTAATCCCTCCTCACACACAGCTCTCCACAGCAGAGTTTGGCTCTTGGAAAACATCACTCAGCTCTTCTACTCCAGCCTGGAATTCCCATGGGGACCCAGCAGCAGCACTGCATGCTCCTGAGGGTGCAGCTTCTGACGGTTCCACTTCCTAATGTCTCTAGGAAAACCAAGTCACCATTGCTGTCCCACTTCCTTATGAGCCCGTGCAAATAAACCCACCTGTCAGGCCACAGATACCTGCAGCAGATCACTGAATTCAGCACTTTTTCTCACGTGCATTTTGGCAAAATCTCTGCAGTCACATTCCCACACAACCACTGAGAGGAGCTTTGAGACCCAGTGGAGAAGAAGCAGTTGGATACTTACTTGATTCTGCTTCAGGAGGCTTCCAGGCTAAGAACAATAAGAAAGAACAATAAAGCAGAAGAGGAGGCCTCTTGAGTCACTATCTGAGATTTGGTTGGACTAAACCAGCACATGAGAGACCGCCTCATGGCAGAGCTTAGAGTGGATCATGACAGAAAATGTGGACAGGCAGGAGACAATGAAGCGCTTTGGGTCTGAAATGTGAGCATAGCACAGCAAGCAGCAGCTCGGGAAACAGCTGGTGGCAAAGAACCAGCATTCCCAGACATGTTTCTAAGTTGCTCAGAGCACCACAGGATAGAAGAACCCCATCAAATACCTGCAAGGTCTCTGCATCCAGTGCTGTCTGCTCCTCCAGGGCAACATCAAAGAACAGCTTATTGATTATGTGTCTTTTGCTGACCTAGAGGCAGAGAGGGGAGAGGTTGACTGGCACACACAGGAAGAAACAGTACATATAGAAGATGCACGCAGGGGAAGAAGGTGGCACCTTGCCACAAGGCCACAGGAGGAACGTCAGTCCACGTGCAACGCCATCCCTGGCAATATCCTGCTTCTGCTCAGCAGCACAACTGCAGGCCCCCCACTCAGTTTTGGGAGCACGACTCCAGCCAAGCTCCCGAGCTGCAGCAGAAAGATTCAGGCACTTCTGAATCGAGCGCAGTCTGTTCTCTGGCAGCTAAGGCCCAAGCAGCTGACGCTGAGCTAACACGATGCCAAATCCAAAGACAGAAGTACGTGCTGCTTTCTGCAGGCAGAAGGTGCTGTAATTGAATTTGATAGCTCTCCACACCTCCCCCATGCAGTTACAGCTTTGTGTTTTAAGTATTATATACAGTCATGACACCAGCTAATTGCATAGTTACTGCTACATAAGATGTTATTTCGCGATAACTCCATGGTAACCCAGAGATGTAAGCGGCAGTGAAGAACACAGGGAATCAACAAGTCAGGGAAGGAACAAGGGCCGAGACCTTGAGAGGAAAAAAAGCACGAGCACAGAGCAAGTCCCAGCAACAGCAAGCTGGAAGCCTGCACCAGACCCCTCCTTCAGCTGCACGCACCAAGCCCTGCGAGGCCGATAACACAGCAGCCTCCAGAGAAGCGCAGCTCCTCCCTTGCCAGCACAGCACATCCTCAACGAGAGCCAGGACTCGGTGCTAAGAAGCACGGCAGTAGTTTGTCTGCCTGACAGCATCCCCACAAAACGCCGCTCTGAGGGCCCGGGGTTTCCTTCCTGCCCTCCCCAGCGTTACACCAAGCAGCGAAGGCTCCGGCACAGATATCAGCAGGGCACGCTCGCCTCCATCCGCCCTCCCCTCATCCCCCAGGCCCGGGGCTCCAGGCCGGAGGCTCCAGCAACGCGCGGTGCCATAGAAACGCGGCGCCGACAGCGAGGGCGGTACCTGGATCCTGCACTGCGGGCAGGTGCGGCTGGGCGCCGTGTCGAACCACTGGAACAGGCTGCGGAGGGAGAGGGAAACGGCCGCTCAGACCGACACCGCCCGCGGGCCGAGCCGCAGCCGAGGGGAAGGCCGCACCCCGGCTCGGCACCGCGGCCTGAGGAAGAGGCGGCTCCCCTCGCCCGCCCGCCGCTCACCATGCCCGATGGAACGTGTGCCCGCACGGCACGGCGGCCACGTCGCGCGCGTTGTCGAAGAAGTCGGAGCAAATGGTGCAGTGCGCGCGGATCGGCATGGCGGGACCGGCAGCGCCAGGCCGCGCGGCGCCGCGCGATTCAAACCCGGCCGCCCGGCCGCCGCTTCCGGTCCAGGCCGGAAGCGACGTCACGGGACCCGCGCTCGTCCCGCTCCCCGCGGGGCTGGTCCCGCTGGCTGCCGTGCCGCGCCCCTGCTGCAGGGCGCCGCGAGTCCGCCCGACGGCCGAGCCCGGCTACGCTCCGAGGGCACGGCGAGCCGAGCCCGGCCCCGCGCGGCCCGTGTAGCGTCCCGCCCTCGACCCGGCGTCCTTGAGCCCGGCCCGCCCCGCCCTCGCCCACCCCGGCCCTCCCGGGCGGCGACCCCTCACGGAGGCGGGCGGGCGGCGCTGCTGCTTTCTCAGTTTGCCCTCGGCGGGTCTTTATTTGCCAGAGATAGAGGCCGCGGGGCGCGGCATGCAGCGGCCCGGGGCGGGGGGGGAAGCGGGAACGGGGGGGGGCCGGCTGGGCGCGGCGCTTCGGGGATCCCCGCTTTGCTCCGCCCCCCTCCCCCGGGGGCCGGCAGGTCGGAGGCGGGCGATGGAAGGACCGACCCCCCCCCTCCGTCCCGCCTCGGGCCCGGCCCGTGAGCGCGCGTCCCCGGGGGTTGTCCGCGGGTATCTCTGAGCATCCCCGGGGGAGGGGACGGGGGAGGCGGCGGGGGACAGACTGAGAGAGCGGCGGGGACCGGGAGGGGACGGGCTCCATGCAGGGCGCTGCCCCGCTCTCCGCTGGGGGCACGTAGAAAAGTGGGGCGCAGGCGAGGGGTGCGGGGGCCATGCCGGGCTATGTACAGGGCTGCCGCTCAGCCGCTCGGCTCGCTGGGGGCCTCGGCGAGGGCGGCGGCGTCCCCGGCCCCGTTACACGTGTCAGCGGCCGGGCTGGCGGTGGGCGGCGTGGCGGGGGTCAGGGGGGCCGCGGCGTCCGTGGTGGCGGTGGCGGCGGTGGCGGTGGTGGCGGCGGTGGTTGCAGGGGCCGACTCCGTCTGCTCGGGTGCCCGCAGCCGCTTCATGAGCGTGGTCACTCGCACGGCTTTCTGCGAGGGCGAGTGGGCGTCAGGACCCCCGGGGGGAGACTGAGGCACGGGGCTGCGCCCACCCACCTTCCACTTGGCCCTGGCGAAGTTCTTCTCGATCTGAGCGCAGACGCCGTCCTTAATGTTCTTGTCGGAGGCAGCGTTGCCAGAGATCCTGGGGGCGGTAAGGGGGTGGTGAGCGGCCCCTACCGCCCTCCCTGGGCCCCCCGCTGCTCCTGCAGCCCCTCACCATTCGTGGGAGATGGCCTCCTCCGCCGTGATCCGCTGGTCCTGCTCCACCTCCATCAGCCGTGTCACCAGTTCCTTGGCTGGGGTCAGGAGGGTCAGCGCAGGCGGGACACACAGGGAGCCCGTGTCCCCCCTGCCCCCCCTCAAGTACTACGGCTCACCCGCCTGCGAGATGTCATCCCAGTAGGGGGGGGTCGAACTCGTAGTCCCCGGCCAGGATTTTGCGGAAGAGGTTCTTGTCGTGGTTCTCGTAGTCATCCTCATCCGCCTCCTCGTAGAAGGGGGGGTTCCCCGAGAGGCTGTGGGGTGTGTGCTCAGTGTTCCCCCACAGCCCAGAGCCCCCCCAACCCCATCTCCAACCCCACACTCACAGGATGTACATGATGACACCAATGGCCCAGCAGTCCACCGGCCGCCCGTACCGCTGCCGCCCCACCACCTCCGGAGCTACAGAACACAGGATGGTGGAAGTGGGGGACCAGTCCCGCTCTGGGGTCTCCAGACACCATTTCCCTCACTGGGAAACCCATCTCCCTGCTCCTCCAGGGTGGCTGTGCATGGTGTGCCCCAACAGGTCACCCATGAGCAGCGGGAGGGACCCAGTATGGGTACTTCTGATGATGGGGAGCAGGAGGAACCCTTTGGGAAGAATCAGGATGGGTGCCTGGGGCGATGAAGAGCAGGAGGGACCCGCTGTGAGCATCCACAATTGCTCCTCTGTGTGATGGTAAGTGGGAATAACCCACCAGGGACGCCCAGGAACCCACAGAGAGCAGTCATCAGCAGAGCGGGGGCCCAACAGGGGCCCTCCGGATTGGTCCCTGGGGTGATGAGGAGCAGAAGGGACCCCCAGGGTGCAGCCAGCATCAGCTGCAGGGTGATGGGAATGGGAGAGAACTGCCAGGAGCACCCAGGATGGGTCCCTGAGTGATGGAAACTCATCAGGAGCACCAATGTTCACCGGCAAGGGACCTGCCACGACACTGACCCTGGAGACAGGCAGTCTGTGCCCCCCCTGCCCCCTCTCTGTGCCCGCCCAGCTCGCCCTCACCCAGGTACTCAGGGGTGCCGCAGGGCTCCTTGATGAGACCATTCTCCAGCTTGGCCAGGTGGAAGTCACTGATGACGATCTTGGAGTTCTTCAGGCGGTTGTAGTACACCAGGTTCTCCAGCTGCCAGATGAGGGAACGTGAGCGTGGTGAGGCTGCGCCGGCACCCATAGGTGCCTGTGCCCACCAGGGACCCTGAGCGCCCACCTTGAGGTTCCTGTGAACGATCTTGAGAGAGTGCAGATATGCGACAGCCTCCAGCACCTGCCGGATGACGTTGCTGGTGTCCTTCTCCGAGTAGTAGCCCTGGTCCAGGATCCAGTCGAAAACCTCCCGGCCCGTGGCCCTGCCGGTGCCGAGAGCAGGCTGCGGTGGCCCCGCGGCACAGCGCCCACCCACCGCCCCACGCCATGCTTACAGCTCCAGGAAGATGAAGTACTCCTTGCGCGTGATGTAGACGTCCACCAGCTGCAGGATGTTGGGGTGCTTCACCCTGTAGCGTCCACGGGACGGTGGTGGCAGTGGGTGGATGGATGGGAGCTGCCCACTGACTCGCTGGGACCAACCCAAGAAGACCCACCCCATTCCCCCCCACAACCCCCCCGGCCTTGGCACTCACATTTTCAGGATGATGATCTCATTTTTGGCAGCCTTCCGCACCTTGCGCCCGTCCCGCTTCAAGAACTTCTTGCAGGTGTACAGCTTCCCTGATGTCTTCTCCTTTGCCCGGAAGATTTCGCAGAACTCCTCCCTGCAAGGAATCAGCAAGGGATAAGCAAAGCATTAGGAAAGTGTGGGGGGGAGGGGGGTAAAGAAAAAGCCCCTTCCCCACAACAGGGCCACATGGGCTCCCGGAGCATCCTGTGGGATGGCCCCTGTCCCTGCACAGAGCTCACGGCCGGATGGATGCTGCAGAACCATCAATACTGAGCTGCACAGCAGCATGCCTCCACACTACTGTAACGCCGCATTCGGGAAGGCAGGAGGTGAGAGAACTTCCCCAGAGCCCCTTCCTCCGCCACAGCCAGAGCAGACGGTCCTGCTTTCGGGAGGTGCACCGGGGAGCCGCGATTTTGAGGAACTGCTGCAATCCCAGCAGATATTTGGGAGGGAAGAGGGAGGGTTAACCGCAGGCGCCAGGCTGCGGCGAGCAGCAGCAGCGGCGGAGAACCTCGGCACCGGCAGCAATTCTGTGCTCAGAGCAGACGGCAAAGCCCTCCTGGAATCAGCACTCGTTGCAGGGAACGCACCCCAGCCCTGAAGGCACCGAGCTCCCCAACTGGTGCAGGGTAGGGGTCCCCGTGGGCACTCCCGGGGCCGGGCAGGGACGCACTCACGTTTTGATGACCTGGCCCAGGTCATATCTGTCGGTCACCTCGGACGGTTGGTTGTAGTCTTTCTTGTCCCCCAGTGTCACGCAGCCAAACGGCATCGCAGGGCCCGGTGCTGCAGAGGCAGAGGAGCCATGAGAGCCTGGCCCCGCTGCCTGCACCTGTCCCTCCCGAGCAGCGTAAAACCTGACGGAGTGCAGCCCATCCCCATGGCTTCTGGCCACTCTGCCCCACCAGCCTGCTTTGCAGCTCAGTAACGAATTTATTCCAGAGGCAGAGCTCACCGGGCAGTGTGGCAAGTGGAGCAGGTCCTGTTCCTCAGCCCCGTTTTGCCCTGTGGTGACACTTCTTCAGCTCGAGCATTGCCAGCTGCGTGCTGTTACCCTGTCCTTTGGGGACGGTGACAGCCCTCTGCCTTCCTGACAGGAACCCTCCAACCCCAGACCCTTCTTGGGAGCTTGCTGGCAAAAAAAAACTGTTCCCAGAAAGTAATTTTTTTTTCCTTTTTCCCATCCTTTTCTGGGAAGAAGTTTTAACGGATGTTATTTTCTGATGCTCCAGGAAGAGAAGAGCTCCATGGCCCCGCTCAGCCTGAGTGGGACATCCAGCGGGATGCTGGTCTGGTGCCGGAGGCACCCATCACCCCCAGCTCCCAGGATGACAAGCCATGCCGTGCCGCACCGCACCGTGCAGGCAGCACCTGCCAGCCCGGTGCCGGTGGCAGGATGGCGGAGCGGGATGCAGGAGCCGGCGCGGCGGGTACCCAAGCTCTGAGCCTGTTGCTATGGCGATGGGAGCTGAAGATGCAGAAAGCGGCACATCCTGCGGCGGGGGCAGGGACGGGCAGCACCCGACCTGCTGTGCTGCGCAGCCCCGGCGCTACCGCGCCGGCCCCGGATGGGTGCCCTGTCTGTGGCACCATGTGCGGGCACCAGGATGATCCCTGGGGCGGGTGACCCGATGGGGGTGTGAGGACAGCGAGGCAGGGGCATGGGGATGCTCCTTCATGTGCTCGCTGTCTCCATCCAGCCCTGCCTGCAGGATGGGAGCCCCTCGCTGCGCAGCACCAGGGCACCAGCCCGTGCCAGACGAGAGCAGGCAGCCCCATCCCGCACGGAGTGCGCCCACTCCCAAAAGAGAAGCAAAGCACCCACGGGTGCAGGAGAACTCACCCCCAAGCTATAGACCTGCTGAAGCTTCCCTGCCTTCCCTGGGCTCATCCCAACAGGGAACATGCCCTGCCTGGCTGCTCCGAGCATCCCTGTGCCATACGACGCCAGCTGTGCCATGCCACTGACCCGAGGCAAGGGGACTAGGGCTGTTCCCGCAGCCAGTGGCCGACTGGGAGGGCTGGGATGAGAGCTGCCGGCGTGCTGCCAGGATAAGCCATGCAGGGACCCAATGGGATGACAGATAGGGATCTGATTGCTGCCTCTGTGAGCGCTTGGCTGACCTGTGTCCATCCCAGCAGTTCCCGCTGGCTGAGCAGGTGCCGCTGAGCACCATCCCCTGCCCCGGCTGGCTCAGGGGTCAGCATCCCCGGGATGTCCCGCAGGTGAGCGCACCCGGCTGAGAGCTGGGCACAGTAGGGAGGCTGGGTGCCGCGCTGGCAACCGCACACAGCTGCCCCCCCCCCCCCCCCCCTTCTGAAGCAGCTAATTTGGGAGCAGAAGCAACAGCGGGTGTAAGACAATAGCGGGAGGTGGGTGGCCGGGTGCGGACGGGATGACGCAGCCGTGCAGCCCTCGCCAGCATCCCCCCCAGCACCCCGGAGCCCGGCTCTGCCTCACGGCTCGGGGACCCCCGGCTGCAGCACAGCCAGCATCACCTGCAGCCCCGCTCCCACCTGCAGCCCCCGGCCGTGCTGCCAGAAGGTCCCCGCTGCAACCCGCACCCCACGGGAGCGCTGGACCAGAGGGAAGCGTACCCAAATGTCCACAGTGCAGGTGGCAGCGGAGCGGAGGGGCTACGGGAGCCCACAGCGCTGCACCCAAACGGAGTTCCTGGGGTTGGAACAGAGCCGGGGCCGGGGGGTTCCCACAACCCGGTGCCCCCCCAACCAGGGGGCATCTGCCTAGGGGCGAGCTGGGGGCTGCCGCAGCGGGGAGCGCGCAGGGAGGGATGCAAATCTTGTCGGAGAGTGATGGAATGGGGCGGGAGTGTGGTGTGATGCGATGGGACGGGACGGGACGAGGCGGCACGGGATGCGATGGGATGAGTGAGATGGACGAGATGGAACGGGGTTGGGACGGGACGGCAGCTCGGCGCCCGCCGGGGTCGGGGAAGGCGGCAGCGGGGGGCGGCACGGGGCAGCCGTCGGGGCGCACACGGACACGGCATGGGGGGGACGAGGCAGGGACACGGAGGGGCAGCCCCGGGCCGACACGTGGCGAACCCCAGCGACGCCCCCGGCCCGGCCCAGCGGCCCCGCGCCCTGGGGACGGCACGGCTCAGCCCGGCTCGGTTCGGCATCCCCCCCGGGGCCGTCCCGCCGCGCTCACCTCTCGCCTCTCCGACAGCAACGGGGGGCGCGGCCCGGGGCCGCCGCTCGGGGGGAGCCGCGCGGTGCCGGGCGGTGCGGAGCGGTGCGGAGCCGAGCCGAACCGAGCCGAGCACCGCCGTCGCTCCGTCGCGGCGCGGCCCCGCGCGCCTGGCGCGGCAATTGGGGGGGGGGGGGGGGGGGGGGGCACCGCCGGGCCCCGCCCCTCCAACGGTGGGATCCCCCCGCCCCCTCCCGTGACGTCACCCCAAACTTTGCGCCCCGCCTCCTCCTGGCGCGGGTGCCGCCACCCACGGCAATGGGGCGCGTGGCATCACCGCCGGCATCTGTGACACCGCGAGGGGTGGGGGGACACGGGGACACCTGCGGGGATGGAGCAACGGGACAGCGGCGGCTCCCGGAGTGCCGTGTGCGGCGGGCACGGGGTGCGGTGACATTGGGATGGGATGGGATGGGACGTAACAGGATAGAACATAACATGGGTTGGAATGGGGTGGAAGGGGTGAGGTGGATGAGATGGTTGGGATGGGATGGATAGGATGGAATGTGAAAGGACTGGTCAGAATAGGACAGGTTAGAGGCGGTACGATGGGCTGAGATGGGTTGGATGGAATGGGTGCGACGGGATCAGATGGGATGGGATGATGTGGGTGGGATGGGACAGGATGGGGTGGGATGGATCAGAATGGGATGGGATGGTTTGGATGGGACAAGACAGGACAGTTTGGAGGAGATAGAATGGATCAGGATAGATAGGATGGCATTGGTGTGATGGGGTGGATAGTATGGGTTGGGATGATTGGAATGGGGCTGATAGGATGGATGGGATGGGACTGGATGGATGAGGTAGGATGGGGTGGCATGATGGGATGAATGGTATGGCTGGGATGCAATGAATAGGATGGGTCAGGACAGGATTTGATAGGACAGTTTGGAGGAGATCGGATGGAATGGCATGGGTTAGATGGAATGGGATGGATGAGGTTGGACAGGATGGGATGGATGGGATGGGGTAGGATAAGATAAAATAGAATAGGACAGCACAAGGTGGGATGGATTAACCAGAATAAAGATGGATGGGATGGAATGAGATGGAATAGGAAGAGCACAACCCTGTTGGAGCTGGGCACTTTCCCTCGGGCTCCAACCCTCTGGCTGCAGGCCAGGGGCATCGCTCACTGCCAGAAGTGGCAAGAGAGGGGTGATGGCCTCTCAACAGCACGAGCCCTCTCAAAGCCCTTCGCTCTGCCCATAGTTCAGGCATGGAGTGCAGGGAGGGCCATGACTGCTTACAGACCTCTGCTGAGTCCCAGAGCCCCCACAGCCCCGGCCTCACTGCGACATGAACCACATAATTAACAGCACGTGAGCCCGGGGGAATTAGCAGAGCGCCGTAGATTGAGCTTCTAATCAAGAGTTTAATCACACAGCCTGGAAGCAGCGCACGGCTCTGTTATTAATCTTTGCCCACCCGGGAACTCGGAGTGTAACTCACAATTACTCAGCAGCACCCGCTCCTCTCTGGGCTGCCCCACGGCTGCTCGCCGGGCGAGGAGCAGAACGGTGCTGTGGCAGCACTGTGCCTGCAGCAAAATGGCCCCACGGAGCCCCCGGCCCTCCTCTGCCTGGGCTCCCAGCCCTCCCAGCACCTTGCTGTGCGGTGATGGGCTCTGCTGGGCTCTTGTGCCTGCTGCGAGTCCTGTTCTGCTGCCCTGACGACTTGCATCCCAGGGTTCAGAAGGAATGGGATGTCTCCATTCTGTTTGAACAGTCCTGGCTGACAGGAGGTGTCCCCTGAGACTGGAAAAAGGCAAATGTCACTGCCACGTATAAGAAAGGGAGGAAGGAGCACCCAGGGAACTCCAGGCCGGCAAGCCTGATCTGTGTGCCTGGGAAGGTCATGGAGCAGATCCTGGATGACACACTGAGGCTCATGAGTGACGACCAGGTGACCCCAAGCAGCCGGCACGGCTTTGCCGAGGGCAGATGGTGCCTGACCTGCCTGGTGGCCTTCTGTGATGGAGTGACAGCACTGGGGGACAATGGAAGGGCGACTGATGTCACCTACCTGAAGCTGTGCAAGGCCTTTGACGTGATCCTGCACTGCATCCCTATCTCTAATTTGGAGAGCAATTTGAAGGGTGAATTATTTGGTGGATAAAGAGTTGATTGGATGTCCTCAGTGAGAGAGTTGTGCTCAGTGGCTCTGTGTCCAGGTGATGAGTGCTGTCAGGGATTCCTCTTGGGACCAGTGTTCTTTAACATCATTATCAATTACATGGACAGTGGGATTGAGTGCACCTCAGCACTGAGCTGAGTGCTGCAGCTGATAGAACAGAAGTGATGTCATCCACATGGCTCGAGAAGTGGGCACAAGAGAACCTAATGAGATTCAACAAGGGCAAGGTGCTGTACTCTGGGCTGGGGGCAATCCTAGATGTGAGCACAGGGAGAAGAACTTGAGAGCAGCCCTGCAGAGAAGGACGTGGGTGTGCTGGTGGACGAGAAGCTGCACACGAGCCAGCAGTGTGTGCTCATAGCCCAGAGGGCCAACAGCATCCTGGGCTGCATCAGCAGCAGGGGGCAGCAGGCAGGGAGGGGATTGTTCCACCTCTGCTTTGCCCTCATGAGGCC